AAAAAAAAAAAAAAAAGTTTGGTAAAGATGCAACAGCATCCTCAGATATTGCTGTGAGATGTAAATTGGTATTGTCTTTCCAGTAGACAATCTGGAAATACAGATCCACAACCTTTAAAATGATCATACGCTTAGACCTAATAATTACACAAGCATTTGTATTAAAGAAATCTCAGAGATATGATCAAAGTTTGATTTATAAAGATGTTCACAACTATTTACCTAAGGGAAAAAGTGGAAATGAAGTAAATATCTAACAATATAGCAATAATTCAAAAACTGTCATCTAGGGCCGGCCCTGTGGCTTAGTGGTTGAGTGCGCGCGCTCCACTGCTGGCAGCCCGGGTTTGGATCCTGGGCGCGCACCAACGCACCGCTTCTCAGGCCATGCTGCGGCCACGTCCCACATACAGCAACTAGAAGGATGTGCAGCTATGACATAACGACTATCTACTGGGGCTTTGGGGGAAAATAAATAAAATTATATAAAAAAAAAAAGAATAGTGGAGGGGAGAAGTGGAGAAGGGGCATGACGAAACACGGACTGTTGGAAATTGTCTCTATCCAGATGATGGTTACAGGACTGTATACACAGGTAAAAGTTCACTAGGCTATAGACTTCAGAATAGCACATTTAAGTACTTTATGTATGTTATAATTAACTAAGTACGTAAAAGCAACACAGGAAGGGTAGTGATTGGAAGGAGCATGAGAAGGGATTCTGGATGTTGGTACTATCTTGTTTCTTGATCCAGGGGCCAGTGAAATGGGTATGTTCGGTTTGTGAAAACTCATCAGATTGTACCTTTATGCTCTGGGCCTTTTAAAAATTTCCCAAACAGAAATCACTCTTGCCCTTGAGAAACTCAGAGTATAGTGAGAGAGAGGCATACAAAAATACTGTAGTTAGAATATACTGGGATGCAAGCTAAATAAGAAGTGAAATTGAAGATGTATAGAGAGAGGTCCAAGTTGGAATAAGTAGCAGCAGCAGCCTGATAAGGACTGTGCACGTGTGTAGATACATATACTATCTGATGGCACTGATAAATTACCAACTTACTAATTTTTCAAGAATATTTTGACATTATTTGAGGGGCAATAGTTTAGCTAAGGCATTTTTCTAAAAAGGCAATATGACCATTGTTACCACTTGTAACCACATCTTAGATGACTGAATTTATAAAAATATTTGTAATACAATTTACTTTTCAAAATTTATATTACTTCCCTTTTATATTACATTCAAATTGAATACTACTACAAAAAAGAGGGAAATCACTAATTTGTCTAAATCAGTCACACTTCACATTTCTAGACTAGCATATTTTGAATTTGCCTTACCACAAGTAACCTATTTTTATCATAGTCCAGTAATTCCACAACTTGTCTGCTCATTAGAATCACCTGAGGACTCTTGTAAACATTCCAAAGCCCAGGTCATCTCCAAGACCAATTAAATCAAACTCTGGAGGTGGGACACAAACATAGGTATTTTATTTGAAGCTCCCCCAAATGATTCCAAAGTGCAGGCCAGTTGCCATTAAAATCAATACTTTAAAAAGTAACCTGAAGTGACAGATCCTACCTTATCTAGGAGTATTTTCTAAATAGGGATTTCATAGACTTTTAAAATGTGAACTATACTTACCCTGAAGCACCATTTCTAAAAAATTTTTTCAATTTAACTCAATTTTATCTTTTTGGTATTTTTTTCAAGTATCAAAAAATTTAAGTGCTAGTTTCTTTAGATCCAGAATAACTCTGAATTCCTTAATGAGGCTAGTACCCAAATGCCAGTTCAAGGTTCAAGACGGTGCTGCCAGACTGGCAACTCCTACATAACAGTTTAAGTACCACCTGCAGCATAAAGAATAAAGAGAGAGAAAACACAGGCCTAGCTTCAAGTCCCAGTTTCATTTATGAGATAGAATTTTATTTCATTCAAAGAAAGTCAATGTAAACCTACCAAATGCAAGGGCAAAGCACCGTGCATGGCATTTATAGGTCACAAAAATCCCTGGACCCATTACTACAAACAAAAGAGAAAACAAACAAACCTAAATACAACTAAATTCCTTGCCAGATTTTATATAATCATATTGCTTCTATTTGTTCCAATTCATACTCAGCTGTTATTTAAAATCTGATATTAACTTTTATATCTCAAAAATGTATTTGCATATTCAGAGTCCCCAAGCAATTCTGAATTTCTGGGCTTCTCTTTCCTATTGGCTCCAAAACTGCCATCTGGTGGAGGGAAAGAGAGCATGCACATCCCAGCTGCTGCTAATTTACTAGTTCACGTCATCATCTGAAGGCTTATTTCCTTCAGGTGATGGTCAGCTTGGCTGCACGGAGCAGTTGTTCTCCAAGTGTGGTTCCTGGACCAGCACCAGGGGCGTCCCTCGGGACCTTATTAGAAATGGAAATTCTTGGCCCCATCCCAGACCTACTGAATCAGAAACTTCGGGGTGATGCCCAGAAATGTGTTTAACAAGCTCTCCAGGTGATCTGATACACACTAAAGTTAAAAACAACTGTCTCAGAAGAATGAGAACCTTATCATTTAGGAGATTTTTGCAATTATCCCATAAAACACACATGGGCTTACAAAATTAAACAACTTTTCATGAAACTGTTTAAGAAGATGACATAATGAAAACAGTGCTTAATGATTATTACAGCAGAAGTAGGCAAGGTAGAAAATGAACACAGCAGAAAATCAAATCAAAGGCCAAAAAATTCAGGCATGAACTGATGAACAGCAGCTGTGGAAACAGAAAGGCATGACTTATCAAGTTATTATGAAGTAAAAACTCAATGGAAAAGAATTATGTCAAAAACGACTCCAAGATTTCAAGGCAGGACAGCTAAGAGAATACAGGTACTGAAAAGGTTGGGAAGGAAACTACCTGGTTTGTAGGATGAACTACGAATTCGATTTTAAATTTCTTGAGTTTATAGTGACA